AAGATTATTTCTTTGTTGCTTTGTATGTCCCTCCCCCACAATATAACCCCTGCTTTCACTGTATTTGATGTCGGTATAATTTGTGGAGGGGAAGGAGAAAAACAAATCGTTTAAATAGGGATACCGGTGGACCCATTGCAACAATGAGATATGCAAGTTGTTATGTCGAAAACGAACTTTACAACTTTGGTGTGTGGGGGGGGCGGGGAGGATTGGGTAGGGAGATGGGGGGGGAGGCTGGGAAGGGATGGGAAGGGGAAACAAAGGAGGAGGCTACAATGCTTGATAAGAAATGTACTCATTATCTTGCCCATGTCATTGTAACCCCTCTATACAGTATTTTCACAATTAAAAATAGTAATAATTTTTTTAAAAGCCCCGCTGAAGGTAATTTCAATATTTTGGGTGTTTTCTTAATGATGAAGCATCTATTATTAGCTTTTAGCTAAATCATCTAAGATGTAGAAGTTTATTAGAAGTAAATTCAGAACAGCCATATTGGTATTTTTGTATTAAAGAACCTATATTTGGTGTTTCAGCTATTTATAATGCATAAGATAATTTGGCATGGTATCAGAGTCAGCATTATGATTGAACTTTGTTCTTTAATGAATAATTAAAAGTTTTTACCCCAAGTTGAAGGTTTAAAATTCTGATGTGAGAAAATGTATCAAATGCCTAGAACAAAACCAGCCCTTGACGGAATCAGAGTTTTGAATGGAAGACAGACACTTCTATCAATATTTACAACTTCTGTGATTAGTGCAGGAATGGCGATATAGACACGGTGGTGGCGAGAAGGAACATAGTAACAAAATAAAGGAAACGGAACAAACTCATGGAGTCTACCAAAGCGAGGGCAGTGATTTATTTTTAATAGTTGACATTTGACACTCATATTCCTTTGTGTGACACACTTACCTGGGCACCGCCACAGAATCCTCAGTTGTCATGAGACCTAATTGACCATCACTCCCGGCACCCCAAGAAAACAGCTGGCCCCGGTCACTGAGGGCCAGACTGTGGGACTCGCCACAGGCCACATGAATGATGTGCTGGTCTGCCAAAGCTCCAATTTGTTCTGAAAGAGATCAAAGCACAGGAAGGAGATGAGATGTCTCACCTGGAATCAGGTATGTTGATTTACTTCACGGGATTATCTTCCTAAGCACTAGGGGAAAAAAATGCAGGAACAGCACCCGTGCCCTAAGTTCAGACCTCGGGACCAGCATATACACAAGAAAAGAATTATCTTTTCTCTAATGAATATATGTTTTAGACAGCCTTGCTGAAAATCAGATGCCGGTACGCCATCATCACCCACTTCAAGGAGTAGCTAGCTGTTCCAGCCATTCTGGCACTATCTAGCAACTGGCAGGTGTCACTCAAATTCATGTATTTCTAAATGCTATCAATTTATATTCCAGCTGTAGTAGATAGACTGTATGCCTATCTGCAGACCCAGCTCAGGTGAGCCCTAAACCTACACAGCCACGTGCCCGGTGCTTCTCTATCCAGAGAGAAGTTTGCAGGTTTTCAAACACCACCACCCACAATATGATATATGCACAGTCCTCTGCAGTTCCCAATGCAGGAAAGCTCCTAGTGCCGGACTCTCCTCCAAGCGGCCCAAAGTTTCCCACAGTGGAACCAGGCTGTCTGGCCTCTCTGTATCTTGAAAGGGCTTCTTCCTAAACCTTCCAACTTATTTATTATTTATTTGTGTGTGTGTGTATATGTGTATTAATATAGTGGGGCTTGAACTAAGGGCCTCAAAGCTCTTGCTTGGCTTTTGTATTCAAAGCTGGTGCTCTACCACTTAAGCAACACCTCCACTTCAAACTATTTGCTGGTTAATTGGAGATAAATCTCATAGATTTTCCTGTCCAAGGTGATTTCCAACCACAATTCAGCCTCCTGGGTAGCTAGGATTGTAGATATAAGCCACCATTCCTCTCCAATTTCTTTTTTTTTTAATTTAATTTTATTTTATTTGTGAACATACTGTACCGAGGAGTTACAATTACATGGGCAGGATAATGC